GAATAAGAGAAGCCATTAAGATAGGGCAAAACAAGAATACCATGTACAGAGATGATGGGTACGAACTCCCGCATATACGATGAAATTATGAAAGCCCCCCCCCCCCCCCAGCACCCTCGCTTGGGTAAACCCAAGCGAAAAATAGGTGGCGCTATTAACCGAAACGTCATCGGAAGGTCCGAGCTGTCATCGCTTCATTTTGACGATGCCTCTGGCCAAGAGGCGAAACATGTCAAGTCTGTAACTAAAGGAAAGAAAATTCACAAATAAATGATAAATACCCTCACCAAAAAATAATTTCAAATCCCAGACGTGACACTAACAGAATGTATTAATACAGGAGAATTTGTGTTAATACTTTTAATACCGCCCTCAACGTATTATTCTTTTTTTTATATATAATATTGAGGCCTATTACTAGAATGGGTTCTACGTTTTTTTAGTTATACCTTTATATTTTTAGGTTTATCATGTTACCTTCAGGCCCGTAGCCAGGTTTTTCCAAGAGGGGTTCTATGGGCGTAGAGTCCAGGGTCGAAGCCCCCAGTGGGTTAGGCAAACCCCCCATAGCCAAAGGATTTTTGTGCTTTATGGTTCTAAATAATGCTATAAAAGCAGAAATGTTTAAAAGTCTGGGTGACTGGGTGAGTCAGCAGTGCATTAGTTGGGTGTTAAAAAAGGGGGTACTCCCAAACCGTAACCATCGTAGAGACGATAAAAATGAACAGGCCTAATAGAATAGAAGCTTACACCCAGAAGACATAGGACGCCGACAATTTGACGTATGGTATAGATTGTCCGATAAATGTATTGAGTGAATAATAATAATAATAATGTTATAGGCTAACCAAGAAAATACATTGATTGATTGATTGATTGATTGATTGATTGATTGACTGATTGGTTGATTGATTAATATATGAGTCGATTGGTCACCATTTGGTCAGTCGTTCATTGCTTGCTCGTTTGCTTGCTTGCTTGATTGCTTAATGGATTTACTGATTGATTGATTCATTGATTGATAGGCTTAGCTTCATTATTGACTGAGTGATTGATTGATTTATTTACTGGTAGGTTGGTCAGTTGGTTGCACGTAGGCTTAATGGGAAATTGGTTAATTGGTCAGTTGGTAGGGTTAGTGAGCATGGTGCGTCGATCGGTGGGGGTCAGGAGGACATTCCCTCCCACCTTTCTAAGTGGGGGAATCATATGAACTGTCTCCCCCCTGCCCCACTATTCACCAATCTTCGATAGTTAAAACCCCAAAGCGAGTCAAAAGAACAACAACCATTACGAAATTACTATCATGATTTGTCTGTTCACTTGTGTTCTGTTCCCTGTGCGGCTTGCACGTCTCCGGACCAAGGTTGTTTATAAATATTAAGAATCTCATTAACGAACATTATCGATTTGATGGTATAACGTACACATGACATTAACATAATTATCTGAAAGGGTGTAAGCCTTTTAAGTCAACTTTTTTTACAAATTCAAAAGTGTTCTAGTTTTATTATCTATTTCTACTAACGAATATTCCTTTTATTATTAATACCCGTAGGCCTAAAAATTGTTTTTATGATCTGCATAATAGGTTCCTGTTTTGCTTAATTGCAAAAAAATCAATAGCAAAACCTAAATGTATTTAAATTCTATTTAGTCATATGAATTTTATTTAGCCGTTATTAAACAATATACAACCGATGACATTTAATAGGTCTACCTATTTTGATTTAAGTAGTTGTACCATATTTTAGGATCTCTGATGTTACATTCACTCAATCTCGCCATTGACGTCATAAAAAAAATCACTATATTGTGAAATAAAAATGCTTTAGTACGTTTATACTAATTTTTATGTGTGCTTCCTATCTCACTAATCATGTTTAATCTAATTAATTAGACGGTAGATGGGTTTCTAATCACAATTGTGTTGTCGCAATTCTGTTAGACGGTGCACTCTGTTACCCGGTGCATTCTGTTACCCGGTACATTCTGTTACTCGGTGCATTCTGTTACCCTGTGCATGTTGTTACTAGTTGCATTTTTACCCGATGTATTTTGTTACCCAGTGCATTCTGTTACCCGGTGCATTCTGTTACCCAGTGCGTTCTGTTACTCTGCGCATTCTGTTACCCGGAGGATTTGGTTACCGGTGCATTTTATTACCAAGTGCATTTCATTATCCGGAGCATTATTTCACTCGGTTCACTCAGTTATCCAATGCATTTTGTTCATCTAAGCATTGTTACTTGAATGGCGTTCCATTAAAAACACTGCCATGTTTGATAATGTTATAATTGTATGTTTACTGCTTGCGCAAGTCAAAAAATA